TATCTGACATACCTGACATTTCTGACATTCGGGATCTTCGTCACGTGCACCGGTCACGTTTTCGGGTCTCACAATATACAGCAAAGTAAACATCAATAGCTAATAACTAAAACCATAACCATTAGTGCATAGATTTTTGTTATGTTTTTTTTATGTTTTTTGTGTAATCGTGATAAACTTTCGGAGGCAACTGTACGTACGTACAGTACGTACAGTACATCTGTTATTGGCGTACAGTATTACTTTCTGAATACGTACGTACCTGGAAACGCCAATCTGTAACTTATGCTTTTTGCCTTATAAAAATTTCGCCTTTACAGCTTTAGGTAGTTGTATTAAAGGCGAAGATAGTGTAACAAGGAAACACTGTACAACATTCAACCCTACGTGCATATTTTTCATACTAATAGACCTGTATTATTGTATAGCAGTTATTAATGATTATACTGTACTTCCATATCATAATTAAGTTATCAAATTAAACTACGTATATACTAAAATTCCATGTAGATTAAAAAAAAAGATGAGTGATAACGTAAACTACACTAATATGAGAATTTTTCGTAGTCATCAATAACATGGTTATATAAGGTTAGAAATATTCGATTTTAATTTGCTACTTGTTTATGCTGTACGTTGTAAACAGAAAACGGCTCCTAATTGGTCGCTCCACAATCGGCTACGTCGTATAACCACTTAGGGTTAATATCGGGTCGAAAGAGGCGTGTTAGATTTGGCGAGTGGTTAATTTGGTAATAGTCGGATTATACTTGCAAGGGAGGTTTCGGGTTCGTTATTGGACAAATGTATTAGCGCACTTTATGTAATCACAAGTTAGGGACAGATTATGTAGTAGCGAATGTTTATTTACTAGTTTATTTGCCAAGGGCGGGAGTTATTTTTTTCCCGAAGGGCCTTTAGGCCTTTATTTATAATTAGTAAAACTTATTTACATCTTGCGATTGATACGACTAATATCACTGATACAACCGATGCATCGTTTCCTGCTGATATCACCTAAAAGACCGATCGCCGTCAGATGCGACTGATCTGTCGCATGCGACGGATGCGACGGCAGAATCACGTGAGTATGAGCCAATCAAATCATAGAATTTTGATGATCGCCGGCGAAGCAAAACAGGAAATAAAAACGAAAACCCAAAAAAATACGAACGGCAGTCTAAACTACCTCGGGTAGGTTAATTAAAAATGTCGGGAAGGCAATTTTGCTTATTTTTAAGCATCTAAAAACCTAACCTAAAACCAATATAAGAATGGTCCTAACCCTAAAGTTAATTCAATAAAATATATTATAAAGAATCTGCTCCGCTTTAGACGTCCCCCTAAATTAGTAATGGGCCACAGGCATTTGGGTACAGTACAACATTTACGGCATAACGATAACGAATCAATATAACGTATATATAAAGAGTTTTTATGCGTAAATAAGTATATATATATTTATATATAATATACATATATATATATGTATATGTATAATTGATTGTCATTAAAATTTTTTTGAAACATCTAAAAGGTGAAAATGGTTAAAAAATTCAAATTAGAATCAAATGAAAATATTGGCAATTGGGGAACATTATATAATAATGTACTAGCTCAATTTAATATAAACAGATTCGAACCAGAACCATCTTCGTTACAAACAGAACTACAGACAGATGTACAGGTGTTGTAAAAATATATATTTGCGCATTCTTTTATCTAATGAACAAAAATATTAAATTTTTTTCATTTAATAGATATTTGAAAGTGATTTGGTCATTGATCTTAATAAATTGTTTGAAAAGCCTAAGAATGAAATTAATGCACAAATTATTCGTATTTATGGTGATGTAGTTCAACTTTCGGATAATTTAGAAATTCAAATGTTGGGAAATCATGGTTTTATTTTAATAGTTGCAAGACGATTTGAAGTCAAACAAGGCTGTCAAATCTCTATTAAATACAATGAAGGAAATCATTTTCAATTATTGATATATACTATGGAGATGCCATCAGATCTTATTATTAAAAACGAAGATAAGGTTCCACTAAAATTTAAAATTAATAGTCCAAACTTTGGTCGATTAATTTCTCTACATAGTGGAGAATTTAAAGATATACCTGATTTTGCTAGTATAATTCTTCAAAAAAAGCCATTCACTAAAATATTACGATTTTCTCTACAAATTGCAATTGCTCTATTTTATGATAATCCCGATGTTACACGTTCAATTCTCACATGGATCATTAAAATAAGTGAACAATTGAAAGACAATGAGGAAAAGGGATTTGAAATAACAAAAAAGTTATATTATCATGCATTAAGAATGCTTGAACATCTTAATGCCTTCATTAAAAGAAATAATAGTAATTTTACCTTTGTTCCACGACTTAATATGGAAAATTACAAAAATCATATTTATCAGTTGATGATATTTGCAAAAGGTTATGAAATCGAATATAAAGATATTCTAAAACAAGATAATATTAATAAACAAAAGGTAGAAATTTTAAACGATAAGCTATTGGACCATAATGATAGGAACAAAATGCTTGAAATTTTAGAAGAAAAAGAAAGTAAGCGATTTGAATTGGCACATAATTTAATGGAAGAAACTGAAAATATGCTTCAGGTATGTTTTACACTATTTATATAAAGAATTTCGAAATAAACTCATGTTTTTTTTCAAAAAAAGGAAAAAAAAAATTATACCGTAAGTGCACTCGAGAACCTTGAAGAAGGGATCAAAGATTGGCTGGAAGAGCGAAAACTTGCTGCACAAAAAGAGTTATTTTTTGCTATTCTTGATTTAGCTTTAAGTGTTGGTAAAATTGTTATCCAATCTGGCAGCGTACATAGTGTCAACGATGCTATAGGAAAAGTATATAAATCAGTTCAAGATGTCTTAGAAAATATTAACATAGAAAACATTAAAGAATTGGTCAATATAACCCATGACGAAAATGTAAAAAAAGAACAGGATTTAGCTAAGGATATTAAGGACAAAGCTGATAAAATTAAAAAAATTACAAATGATTTAAAAAGTAGTCACGCTAAGGCTGTTGGATTATATAATTCTGTAGAAGGTTTAAATAAGGATACCGAAACTTTTAATATCAGAAATATTTCAGAAAGGTAATCTATACATTTAAATATACTATTTTGTCAAACATAAATTAATAAATTGATAATTTCTATTAGCCTTAAAAATAAAGATCAAAAAGGAATCATGCTACATCATAAATGGGAATCAACTAGGGATAAAATTGATAAACTGCGTGAACTCATAAAAGTATTTATGCGCATCTTTTCCTTTCATTACACTTTAATTGAAAATTACTGATTGTAAATTCAATTTTGCAACAATTTTAATAGTCGTTCGAGCAAAATATTAAAGGCGCAGAAGAATACTTAAATCTTTAACAGACTTTATTAATTTTGCTGATGCTCATATTAAAGCCAAGATCGAAGCAATCGAAAGGTCCGAAGAACTTTCACGAATTCAATTGCAAACAGAAACATACAAAAGTATAGAAAAACGACTTGAGCAAAGGATTCAAATATTCGAATTAGAAAATAAATCTCAATATGATGCAATTAAGCTTCCATTATTAGAACACCTTATCGAAATCAAATATTGTATGACACGATACATGGAAAAGTATCGTTCTGCTTATAAATATTGGACTCTATCTGAATCCAATTTAGAACTTTCAGTTATCGAAGAACTCAATGAAACAGTTATCAATAAAATGTTTGAAGATTTCGAAAATGTCCTGAATAAAACACCTCAGCTAAAAAAGATTACTATTGAGTTTGATGAAAAAAAATGTATTGATGAATTCAAACAAAAAAGTTCTGTAAAAATTGACATTTCGTTTGAGCGCAAGGAATTAAAAGACTATACTCGTCTAAGGCTTCATACATTTAGAGTATTCTTAAAAGGAGTTAGATACATAGATGAGGGATCCATAAAAGAAATCCAGCTTTATATTAGCCATTCAGACACATTTTATGACAGAGGTAATAAAGATAAAACCAAGCCAATATGTTTTAAATCTGATCCTGAAAAAAAAAGATTTGAATATAAAGTACGTGAAGATTATTCTGCCGAATCTGATATAAGCAAATTGTATGAAATAGTTGTTGATAACGAATATTATGATTTAAAGTATAAAGATTATTATTTTGCTCCAACACCATTTAGTCAATGGGAAATTAGTCTTTACCCGGATAATAAACCTGACCTGTCCAGTCTAAAATCAATTAGCATTTATTTGGAAGTATATGTTTTTTGATTTAAAATAGTTTATAATCTTTTATTTATTTATTTTATTTATTTCACATTTCTCTTTCTCTCTTTTTTTTATTTTTTATGCGATTTTATTATTTTATTCGATTTTGTTTTATTAGGATCATTTTATAAAAAATGACTTGTTTAAAGTACTAAGTGAAATGTTTAGCGACCTAAAACTTTAGGATTTACTAATTTCTTCAATTTCTAAATGAGCAAATATAAATGTCTTCCTCACCTTAGAAATTTGAAACTATAATTAAATGTGTGTTGTCTTTTTAAACTAAAATCGAATCGCCACCAAAGACAATTCCAACTTACATGATATGTATAATCACGTTTTGAATCATACAACAAAATAGCAAACATTTTACATAACTAATTTGGATAATTAATTTTATTCCTTCTACAGTTGCCTCTCTTTATACCATGGTTATAACGAACTAAGACTCGAAATAACTACGTATTTACATCATAACTTACTGTACTTCATCCGATTTAGTACATATCAACACAGTCAAGAATATGTAATATATATTTTTTTATCACTTAAACCGTTTCTTCTGCAAATTTACCTTGAATTTTAAATTTTTATTGGAAATTTATATAGTACATATGTTCAAAAAATCATAATAACTTATGTAGTTATTGTTATTAATTACAGATTTTAAAATTAGTATAATTTGTTTTTTGGGGAGTAGGATTTATAGGAGAGGTTACTGATGGTTATAGCATGTGGATGTCCCTTTGGGCCATCCATGTGCTACGACCGTCTCCTATAATTTCTTTCAAGTAATAAATGAATAATCTTTAGAAGTATGTTACTAGGTGTTACAATCATTTTCAAAAATTTGTGAAAAGAAGCAGATCATTATACTATAGAGGTTTCAAGATAGTTCCAGATTTTTGGAGTTTTCAAGACTCATATTAATCAGATTTTTTATCTCTTTATAATGGTCTGAAGTATCTTAAGTCAATTTGATATAATGTATAATTGCGAAAATGACGTCAATTCTAAAATCGTATGCATGTAGAATTATCACAACAGGAGGAACTATAGTTGGTGGTAGAATTAATTTGGTAATTTGCCGTAATTTTTTTTGAGGCGTAATGCCGTAATACGTTACGTACAGAATTACAGCATATAATATTTACTGCAATTAGAACGTACTACTCTCACTATGCCATAATTCATAATTCAGTAATTCTACCGTTACACCAAATAAGGATTATCCATCACACTTGAAGTTACATATAAATAATTTCAGTTTAACTGATCACCCCGTGTGAACGACGGGACGAGGGATGATATCCATAACATAATTTTAGAGTAAACTCAAAATAAATAATTTTATTACTTATTAACTAAGGATTAATGTGTAACATTGACAGTTTCTCCTGTTAGTTATCGCCTGGACTAATTTATATTCAACTAAGAAATTTTTAATACTCATACCCGTAGGCAGAGTTGCGATGAAGCTCAATGATACGTGAATGGAGCTCAAAAAACTATTATCCTCTGGTTCCATTCAGAGCTCTATTGGCTCTATTTGCTGCTTTATTAGACTCCATTGATCTTCCCGTAGGGTATGATACCCAGTATAATGTTTATTATATAGTGCTTTATATATTGAAATCAGCTGGTACGGCGAGTCAGTCGCTCCACAATCCAAAACTTAGTGTTACCTACGGTTGGCTTAGTCGAAAAGAGGCGTTTAGATTTGGTCGGTGGTTTGGGTCCGTAGGTAAGTATTTC